ATATTAACAGGAATGTTAAATCTGCATTCGTATAATTTCAAACTTATGCTGGACTTTTAATTGATTGCTCTTTTTTCTCCCACAGTGGTGAAATTGCACCATTTTTATTTTGTAATTACATTTGTTTCGCTCAATTAGAATAATATTCCTATCTAGAAAAGGGGGGCCCTGCAGAGAAAGTTTGGGAACCACTGCATTAGAGTAAGCCATGTAAAAGCGACATCCATCCTCTATTTTTATGCCATATGATCTACCCAGACTATGATCGACGTATTGGGCACCCCTGGTGTACTGTACTGTTATGTTTTCCATGGCAGTGTCTCGTAGTGCAGTGTGACGGCGGATTGTCCCGAGGCAGCACGTTGAGTGAAGGTGTATTGGCACAAAACAAGCCAATATTTATTAAGTAGCAATTTAAGTGTTAATGGGAGCTCTGTTTTTAATCATCACTTTGTCTTGTCGTATTGTTTTGTGGCAGACCAGTGCTTTTACCGCTCTGGTGACTGGAGATTCCTGTCGAAGCTTTTCTTTATATTTTGTCATGAGGAAAATAACGTTGCCATCCGATCTCCATAACGCCGTTTGTGAAACGGCTTTGTATCCCCATTTGTACGGTGTGTAACAGTGATCTGATGTGTTCGCTCCCCTGGCTGGACACGTGACATGTTGGTAAACGTTTGGGTGTAACTTGTGTGAGGTTCGCGTTATTGACGTCCTCCGCCGCGATGGGCGCTGCGGCCGGGTGTTTGCAGTCGCACTAAGCAGACAGTGAGATTCATGCCTTGTCCACACGTACACGGGTATTTTTTAAAACGTACCTTTTTCTATACGTCTTGGACTTTTGTCCACACGTAAACGGCGTCTTAGGTCACTAAAAACGGAGCTTTTGCAAAACTCCATCCAGGGTGAAGATTTTAAGAAACTCCGTTTTCAGCGTCCACATGTAGACAGGGAAAACAGTTTTTGGCTCGAAATGTCAGATTGTGCGCCGTTGTCCACTTTGTTTAACGTCAGAGCGTGCGCTGTTTGCTGTATACATTAGGCGAGTTTAGAATATACCCTGTCAAGAAAGTCTTAGAAAGGTTCAAACTAGAGATTACAATTGTGATTTTTGTGGGATGGAAACGGAATCTACTATTCATTTCTTTTTTAAATGCATCCATGCAAGAATGTTTTGGATAGATTTATCTAATTTTATTAGCAGGAAAATTGGAAGGAAAGTGACAATTGAAATGTTTGACGTTTTTATTTATTTAAAAAAATGAGGTGTTAAGAGCAGACATTATGTGATTCAGTTATTTATTGCATATGGAAAATTCCACATTCACAAGAAAAAAGTTTTAAGATCTAAACCTAACTTTTTCCATTTTTTAAATGAAATTAATCAGTATGGCACAACTTTAGTTAAATGTAAAAACAAGAAAGCTGTCAAAACTTTGTAAAATTGTGGAAGAATTTGGTTTTCTTGGGTAATTCTCTCTCTTCATCCCTGGCTTTGTTACTGTTTTATGTATTGCATGACACTTCCTTTGTTGATATGTTGTAATATTGTTCATTATTAAATAAATTTATAAAAAAAAAAACATTAGGCGGGTTTGAGCAATGGCGGACTTAGCCAAAATAGTACTTGTGCGAACCTTGCTGACAGGACTTCTTACATGTGTACAGATAAATGTTGAGTCACTCTCGCATTATATTGATCAGCACAGGTGTCGGAATGTGTGCCATGGTTTTCAACTTAACAGGACTGGCAATTAGGCTTCTGATTGGCTAACATGGCAGTTAGAGTTATAATGCCGCCTGTTGTTTTGGCATGCCTTTGACAGCGCATTTTAGCGGTTTCATGTGGACGGAAATATTTTAGAAGACAATGTTCGTATGGATGGGGATTTTTTTTTTTTTAAACGGAGGAGAAAAAACACCGTTTTAAAAAATAGCCGTGTATGTGTGGACAAGGCACCAGGCAAATCATGACACTGTCCACGGTGAGGGAGTGAACAGGCATCCGGCTGTGAGATGTTCCAGATGAGGGAAGCAGGAGTTAGAGAGAACAGAAACACTCTGTTTTTGGGCTGGAGGGATATTT